TTCTTTCTTTCTTTCTTTCTTTCTTTCTTTCTTTCTTTCTCTCTCTCTCTCTCTCTCTCTCTCTCTCTCTCTCTCTCTCTCTCTCTCTCTCTTTCTTTCTTTCTTTCTTTTGTTGTTGTTTGTTTTTTGGTAAAAATGAGCACTTGCTCTTGCTCAGGCTGATCTCAAAATCCTGGCCTCAAGCAATCCTCTCACCTCGGCCTTCCAAAGTGCTAGGATTACAGGCTTGAGCCACTATGTCCAGCCAACTTCTCATTCTTCATATTCAGGCATTGCTTAACTTTCAACTTGTAAACTTCAAAGAAAGGAAGTTTAGCACGCAGCGATCAGTACACCTGCTTTACTTTACAGCTATAGGAGGAAGACTGGAGGCAGACAGGAGGAAAGCAGGATGGACAGATGATAAAAGAGGAGTGATCTGAGGTGTGTGTGCTTACTATACACCAGGTGTTCTTAGGGTGAGAAGAAGATGACCACCATCCAAGAAAACACTCCTAAAGAGAGTACCGGGTACTCAGTACTCACTGTTAAGCTGCCAAGTAGCTGATGCTCTTCAGGCACAGCTGAATCCAAGGACAACCCTCTCCTTGCCCAGTATTTACTTGAAAACATCATCATTGCCGGCTGCATGGATCCGATGTAATTTCCTTTCTCTGCAACAGGGGGGACTAGCTGTGCAGTAGCAGCAGGTCTGGCAGAGATTGAGAGAGGAATGGGCGTGGGATCAGCAGCCTGCTTGGGGCGCTGTCCACAACCGTGGTGCTGAAGAGCAATGCGAATCCTCCCATCCCCGAGCTCCTTTATATGCGTGACTGGCGATTGATGGAAGGCTGATTAGAAAGAAACTCATTTCTGGTTGCCGATGGCCACGATCAGATTATAGACCTGAAGCCTGGGGTTATCTGTGCTCATGGTGCGATTTGTTTCTAGGTCGAGTAGCTGTTTGGGCGGGGGTGGTAAAGAATAATACGTAGGGAGATATTTGTACAAGAAATCATCTATCCCTGACATTGGCTGTCATCTCTCAAGTCTGTTACTGACAAGTTAACCTCAGTCTTTTAAGTATCTATGAATTCAAAGATTTTGTGCTTTCTTTACAATAGTAGAAAAATGTGTTTTAAAAGATCAGCACTGCTGAATCCTTAAGCCATTTTAAGTGTTTTTTCATTTGTAATTTTGATGGATACATAAATAGTTGTACATAATTATAGGGTACATATATTTTGATACAAGCATAAAATATGTAATGATCAGATAGAGTAATTTGGATATCCATCACCTCAAACAGTTATTTCCTTGTGTTAAGAACATTCCAGTTCCACTCTTCTAGTTATTTTGAAATACACAACAAATTATTGTTAACTATAGTCTCCCTATTGTACTACCAAATATTAAATCTTTTTTTTTTTTTTTTTTTTTGAGACAGAGTCTCGCTTTGTTGCCCAGGCTAGAGTGAGTGCTGTGGCATCAGCCTAGCTCACAGCAACCTCAAACTCCTGGGCTCAAGCGATCCTACTGCCTCAGCCTCCCGAGTAGCTGGGACTACAGGCATGTGCCACCATGCCCGGCTAATTTTTTGTATATATATTTTTAGTTGGTGAATTAATTTCATTCTATTTTTAGTAGAGACGGGGTCTCGCTCTTGCTCATGCTGATTTCGAACTCCTGACCTTGAGTGATCCTCCCGCCTCAGCCTCCCAGAGTGCTAGGATTACAGGTATGAGCCACCACACCCGGCTGCACATCCTTTTAAATGCAGATTCCTGGTCTTATCCCTGAGACTCCTGATTCAGTAGGTTTCAGATGAGTGTCAAGATATTGCATTTTTAACAAGCACCTTATGAATGGACCTTGGACCACACTTTGAAACACCCTCCCTGTCTGGATGCTGGCGACTCCAAGTGTGGTCTCCAGCCCCTTCAGTGTAAGCCTGAACTGGGAGCTTACTGGAAATGCTGAACCTCAAAGCATACAAAACCATTACCTTCATTTTTAAAAGATTTCAAAGGTGATTTGTTTTTCCACTAAAGTTTAAGAGGCACTGACCTAGATATTTGACCCTTTCTAGGGAGCCTCAGCAACCTGACTCTTCAATTCCAAGCCCCTTCTGAACTGTCCTATCACAAGGGTCCCTATGTCTGTCTCAAGACTGGGATTATTCCCAGGCATAAAAAGTGCTTAGACAGCCTTTTTCCATCCTTATCAAATAATAACTTACAAAACACCAATTTACCAGTATCAAATTTTGCATAATGAACATTTGGTATGCTTATAAAAGAAATATATGTGGTTTTAAAAATGACAAGAGAGAGGATTGCTAAGTACTTGCAATTATTTCAAGTGGCTGCACAGAAAATAAGAGAAGTTATCATAAGGTGGGTGTAATTAGGAATAATGGAATAAAATTAAGCACAGGAAAATTTACACTTGCTATTGGAATAAACTTTTTCTCAGCAAGGTCAGTAGTTCCTGTGATTGTTCCATTGAAATGGCTGAACTCCTTCTCCGGGTTGAGTAATTTTCAAACTAGACTAAGGGGAGCATTAGGAAATAGGAGGTTATCGAAAAATCCTTTACTGTCCAGGCATTGATCTGGATGATTTAATACAGCACTTCCATTACTAGAATTAAGCATTTACTCTTGCCAAAATTCCTTCCAGTTGTTTTATTAAGTAGGCTTTTCAAACACTCCTTTGAGGTCAATAACAATTTTATTTCTACTTTTTACATAAAAAAAGTGAGGTGCAGCGGTAGAGGGACTTAGCCAAGGTCATTCTGCAAGTTAACAGCTGGTGTCAGTGCAATCCTGGTACTACTAAGCTCTTAAATCAGGTTTCTGTGCTAATTCTGACTTCCGTGAGGTTGGGAGAAGAGAAAGATAACAGTGGATGATTACTAAAAGTGAAGCACTTTTCAGTGTTTTCTGAATATTCAGGAGTTACTGGAAAATATTCTGAAATTTTAGGCTATATTGGCAAATGTAACATACTGTGTCTTTGAGTGAATTCAGCTTTTTGAAAATAATGCAATTGAATTAGGTCTGTTTGACCATTTGTTTGAATTGGTCTGAATTGGTACATTATGCCAAATTACTGGTTTGATTGAAAATTCCCCTTGTGTTAAAGTTTCCATAGCTTCCTTTAAAACAATGGTTCTCAAATTTGTGTGAATTGTTAAAATAAGTCTCCAGATGATGCTGATGCTGCTAATCCTAGGATGACACTTAGAAAGCCACTGTACAAAGCATAGTCACACTATCAGATTCCCAGATTTCCTCCATTTAAATAGTATGAATATCTGTAAACTATTACCCTCAGACCACAAAGGTTTCCTATAAGCATTACTGATCTGCTTGGGTTTTACTCTTTTATCTGTCCATTTTCAGATAAGGGGCACTGGGGGAGGGGAAAAATGCCTGTAATGAATGAGTGCATTGCTTACTTCTCCCAGACTATTAACTGTACTTCATTCTGACCATAAAGAAGTTCTAGGTCTCTTGTGTTAAATAAAAACTGATGTAAAGGGGAGAAGTGGAGAATAGTGGGAAATGCTTACCCAAGTATCATATTTCTTTAAAGATGGTCATTTTTATTGGAGTAGAGGAGAGAATGGTGGCAGATAGATTCAGGGTAGATGTGAAAAGAGATATGTCTTCCATCACAGCCCTATTCTAAAACCCTCTGCCTTTCCATTGAGACTGAAGTCAACCACATTACTCTACTCCTAACTACTTCCAGTCAAGAAAAATAGCAAGAAGAATTTTATTCTCTCACCGAGCCCCATAATGCCTAGTCCTCCCTACTTTCCCAAAGGTGTGATCAATTTCAGTTCATCGTTTTTCCAAGGGTCACCATCTGCAAGTATATTTCAGACTGTCTAATTCCACAGAAATATTCTCCAAGGTTTAGAATCTCCTCCTCTGTCCAACCCTTTTAGAAATAAATGCTATGTGAAAATGCCATCCCTCTAACCTGCTTCCAGCCAACACATGTATACAGGAAAGCTTTATCATTTGGAAGCCTGCTCTCAGTTATGGGGAATGAATAATAAATTATTCTACAATAAAGCATTACAGCACAGAACATGGCACACTGCCTGGCATATGGGCGGAGCTGGGAGAGCATGTGCAGAATGGATTTTACGGACACTTACTGGGTGGTCGGCATCAAGCTCAGAACCATACATGAGAACTCTGTGAGAGCATTTGTCTAACTCAGAGATCTTCCGGGGGAACCAGGGCACATCCTCTAGCTCTGTTGAAAACACAGTGCAGGTTCAAAAATATTAGCTCACAGATTGCGTTTCCACTTTGGCAACATTTATGAGATTGTAAAATCACCCAACAAACAAAGACCACCCTTGCCTTCTTCCTCTGTCCAAATGTTCTCTGGCGGATTCAGCGTCACAATTGTGGTTTGAAATTTCAGCAACTGAATGAGCTCGTTGAATTCTGTTTTGCCACACTCACAGTCCACGAAGATTTCAACCTCGGAACTCCTTCGTCGGGATTTCCTAGATTCGATGTGAACCATGTTGACATGTTTCTCCTGTGGAAACATAAGCAATAGCTCTAAATCATCTTCAGGGCACAACAAAAGGGAGGCCATTAGCTTTTCTTGTTCGATTCTTAAGCAAAAAGGTGCTAAGTCCCCACAAAAGCAAGAAAGAGAATTTCCTTGTTTTTTGAGTGACTCAAACATGGAAATGTTTTCAACCATCGTCTGTAATAAGAAAGCTATATATTTATTCTTCTGTGTGTAGGCTGTACTATCTCATTTTAAAAAGAGAGAGCATTTAAGATAAATAAAGGCCCCTATAAAATGTATTATAATTGTGAACATTGTCATTTCCCAGAGTGGTCTCTACATCCCATAGGTGGTACATGATTAAGTTTGGGAAAAAGTTCACTTGTATTATCATGTAATACTCAGATTGATATTTGTTTCTGGAAAACATAACAAAAACTCAAGCCCCTGATATAAACTTTCCTTTCGAAATAAACTAAAGTTTAAAAATAATCTTTTTAAAAATAAGTAGAGAGCCGTATGCAGTGGAATGCTCCTGTAGTCCCAGCTACCTGGGAGACTAAGGCAGGAGGATCACTTGAGCCCGGGTATTCGAGGCCAGCCTGGGGAAACAGAGCAAGACCCCATCTCTAAAAAAAAAATAAATAAGTAAACAGTACAAATGGCAGGCAGAAATTGTAAAGGTGGCATAAAAATGACTAAAGTTTTGGAAACATTAGTTAAACTGGAGCCCACATTGTAGAAAAAGAAAAGGAAACAATCAAGAGAGAATCTCTGAAGACAAAAGGAAAACAACTTTTTTAGGGGACAGTGAAGAGGGGGTAAAAGGATAAATAAATAACCTTTAAATGGGACTCATTAGTAATTGTTCTCTTTTGGCAATTACTCTGAGAAAGCTTCATCCAATGATGTGTTGCTGCAACTATCACTCCATATAATATGATGGATCTCAGATGTAAAAATCTTTGAATAAGATATACAAGGAGGGCAGTAATTTAATATTTAAAAATCAGATTTGAATTTCCCCAGCGATGTACTTTTCATTTCTTCTTAGTTAATTGAAGACTAAGTTCTCCTCTCCACTCCAACCCATCCTCAAATAGGCAGACACCTCCCCATCACTCCAGATGGTACACCCTGATTATCAGCACAATTTTTCTGATACAATCCTGGATGGTCTCAGAATTTTCAGCATAGAAACAGAAGAGGTAGTTTCCAGTGCCAGAATGGGATTAAATGAAACAGCATTCTCTTCTATATAAAGAAACTAGTCCTGTGCCCAGGAAACTAAATGTTCTATTTCTGTTTTTATTAACCTTTACAATAATGCCATGTTTTCTAAATTGGCTGATAATAATAGTAAGATTAAGTTCAAGATTCAAGAGACTTCACATACATTGTGTCACTTTGGGCTTATAATGTCCTTTGGTTGAAGCAGAGTAGATATTTTTAGGGGAACTGAGGTCCAGATGGATCAAGTGGTTTAGCTAAGGCCTCATGACTAGCTGATGGCAGAGTGAAAATTCAGGGCTGCTAACTCCTTCTCCAGGGATTTTTCCACTGCACCCAGATGTCTAATTGAATTGGCCTGCCTTTGGCACTATATGGATACAGCCTTGGATGACATAATTATGTGTAAAATATTTCCCCAGATTTCCATTATCACTGTTTATGGTGCCTGATCCTTTTTTCAAGGTCAAAAGAGAGCAAGGAAATATTTGCCAAATCAGAATGCTAATTCCCCCTCTATGATCATCATAGAGACATCATAATAATGCCTTATATCTGTACACTTTGCAAAGTGCTTTCACGCACATTATTTCATCCCAACAATCCTGTTAGGTAGGAATTATTATTGCTATTTTACAGATGAAGAAATTGAACCTTGGAAGCAGCTAGTGATTAGCCAAGCCAATTGCAGTCTAAATCCCCTGACTGCAATTCCAACTATCTTTCCAAGGCACCAGTAGCCCCAGGCACCTCAAAGGACCAGCCTCCTTATCTCACAGCTCTCATCAGCAGCCAGTGCCCCAAACAAAATGCATTTTGTAAGGGAAGGTGTTTGCTAATGGGTAGAAGAACCATTAGGAATATGCTGGTAAGAAGGCAATAGCTTTTCTCGGCTTTTCTATCCTTACCCCTACCCAGAATCTTTCTTGAGGGTTCAAACCACTGATTGATGGGAAGATGATACTGCATTTCTGTAAGATAAGGGGCAAGTTAGCCCAACAATTTATGTATAAGGAGACTGACTCATCTTTACAAAATGACACATTAAGTTCCTGAAATAATGAAGCTTTGGGGAATACCAAGTACTTATACTCTTGTATCTTTATGCAACAAATGTGTTCTTAGGACAAGTATAACATTCAAATGTGAACAAATCAAATCAAGCTGCAGGCTCTTGATATTTAAGATACCCTATTTGGCTCCTTTTGTGTTTGCATTTTCAAATGTGAAGCTCACATTTTGACTTCCTCACCTGGCAGCGGTCTGCAAAGTTCCTAATAGGCTAACTCTGAACTCGTAAATCATAGTTCACGTGAATTTGCTTATTTCATTGTTTGGCAGACAAACTCCTGTTTGTAAAGCCTCATGAAATTTGGTTCCCTTGAATCTTTCACTGCATTATATAGAAATTGATTTAGTAATGTTTGATAGCAGATGACAGGTTTGCAACAGGCACACAGTCATTTTTTAAATTATGTAATGATATTTTATATTTACCTGAAAGAGCCTCAGCGCTTTTACCAATCCACCAACTTCATTTTTCAAGGAGAATACAACTGCTGTCTTGCCACTTTCGGTAGCAGTTTCACTTTTGCTGCTTCCCTTGTTGCCTTTCTTGTCATCATTTTTGCCAGAGTTAGCTTTACTTAGCTTCAAAAAGGCAGAAGCACAAAAAGAATATATTAGTTAGGATTCCAGAGTCCTCCATAATTAGATATTTTCCCCCAAATATTCTATTCATATGCTAGAAGCCCCACCAATCATGCAAACTCAAGGTGAAGTTGCCATGTCACCTATAACTTTTGACCATAAATATTGGTCTAATTTACTCTGGAACACTATTTTCCAGTGGTCTAAGACATCATCTAGTGGCTGAAATTAAAGGAGAATCAGATTTGCTTCATTTTAATAACAACAAAAATCTGACCATCATAAAGTATGAAGTATCATATATGAATAATTCCTACCTTTCTTTCTAGGTGTATTTTACAGCATAAAATTTGAAATGTTAGCCTAGTTGAATCACATGGAAACGATATTCATTAGTAAATGTAATAAAAATAAAACCCAATATGTATTTTTGACAATAATTTGAGTTTCAATTAAATCTTAAAGATAAAACATCCATTTCATTCTGAAATATGTTAGGACATGGCTAGAAATTAATTGATAATCTTACTTTCTGCAATTAGACCCAGATTGTTAACATGAATTGTCAATGTGAATTTATATGCAGCAGTTCAACACAGAGGAATGTATGTAACTATGGCCATCTGTGTCAGAAGATGGTATCTGAAAAGTGACTATTAAAATTCAGCCACAAATAAAAGAAAAAAAAGAAAGGAAGGAAGGAAGAAAACTAGCTAGTTAATCATGAGGTGCGAACAATAGAATTTGAGAAACTGAAAAAGATTAACACTTCATTAGCCATTCAAGATCCTATAATATGGGATAAAGTAATGACTATTAGTCCTGTTGGCTAAAGATGAAAGTGACAGATTCCAGTAACTCAGATCACATTGTCAGAAATGCAGAATAAAAAAGCTAGAAACTTTCGTGTGATGATGCAAAATTATGATGGTCTGTTTTGTGTTCTTTATATGCAAAGCAGAGTTGGGCAAACAGATCTCCCTAACAAATGGTGATGTAATACAATTTCACCGATCTATTACATCCTCATGAAACTGAGAAATTTAAGTTTGATTTGGAACCCAGTGAATAGTGATTTACCATTGTCTTCCTCTGATTTCTCTACTGGCTTTATTTTCACACATTAGTATTGCCTCACTTGCTAGATTTATATATAATAGAAATGGAGATTTTATTATTTATGACTTGAGGGAGAACAGTTTATGCAGACAGTGACATTTGACAGTATGTTTAGTCATTAAAAGCTCAAATGTCTTAGTACTCTCAACATCTGCCTCCTCCTCACCATACAACACAGAGATCTCATATATTTAAGTAGCATTTTTATATGAAAGGGTCATACATTAACCATAACTCTAAGCTTTCTTTGTTTTCCTGCAAGCAGTTCATTATGACTTCAAAATTCTTCAATGTAATATCTCATCCAAATATTCATGATATTTAAATGTTAGAAAATCTATTTATGTTTTGGCCTCATTTTTGCAAATTGATTTAAATAGTGCTACAAAAGTTGCCATGTTTACTTTTGAACATTTTTAGCAGTAATATGTGACTACAATGCAACCCTCTGGCACATATTTGGAGCTACAATATTAAAACAGATTCTTCTATGATACAGACTGAATTGGACTTAGTTGATAAACTCTAATAGTGCAGTAAGAAAATACCATTTAATATTTTTAATGACTAGGACCCCTAATACAATTTTGTCTTTTTTTAAAACAAGCTTTGTTTACTTGAAATGAATATGTTTTTATTTCATTGTTTTTATTAAATACTATGATAATTGCCTCAAATCAGGATCTAAAATTCCACAAATGTTACTTTTTTATTCTTTAAATATGTTAGACATAAATAATCCTTTAAATACTAAAACAAGTGCATATTATTTTCATTATTTCATCAATTAAACTGAAAAAATTGAGTAATGTGGAACACAGGAAAACATTTGAAAAGAGCCTGATCTTTCTTTTATTCCAACAACCTGTATCTATACCCAGTAATAGAAAATAATAATTCTGTGTTTAAAGACCAAGCTTTGTAGACTGAAGGGGGTGCAGGAGACACAAGGATCTTCTGGGAACATGGAAATTTGATTTCTTCTCCCTATTTCTTCTCATAATAGTAGCCTTTCAAAATTCTACATACTTTTTTTGGTTGTGGATTTAAAACATTGGTTCATACAATCTCTCTCTCTCTATCTCTATCTCTATCTCTCTATCTCTCTTTGAGACAGGGTCTCACTCTGCCACCCAGCTAGAGTGCAGTGGCATCATCATAACTCACTGCAACCTCAAACGTGGGCTCAATAGTGCACCACTATGCCTGGCTAATTTCTTTCTTTCTTTCTTTCTTTCTTTCTTTCTTTCTTTCTTTCTTTCTTTCTTTCTTTCTTTCTTTCTTTCTTTCTCTCTCTCTCTCTCTCTCTCTCTCTCTCTCTCTCTCTCTCTCTCTCTCTTTCTTTCTTTCTTTCTTTTGTTGTTGTTTGTTTTTTGGTAAAAATGAGCACTTGCTCTTGCTCAGGCTGATCTCAAAATCCTGGCCTCAAGCAATCCTCTCACCTCGGCCTTCCAAAGTGCTAGGATTACAGGCTTGAGCCACTATGTCCAGCCAACTTCTCATTCTTCATATTCAGGCATTGCTTAACTTTCAACTTGTAAACTTCAAAGAAAGGAAGTTTAGCACGCAGCGATCAGTACACCTGCTTTACTTTACAGCTATAGGAGGAAGACTGGAGGCAGACAGGAGGAAAGCAGGATGGACAGATGATAAAAGAGGAGTGATCTGAGGTGTGTGTGCTTACTATACACCAGGTGTTCTTAGGGTGAGAAGAAGATGACCACCATCCAAGAAAACACTCCTAAAGAGAGTACCGGGTACTCAGTACTCACTGTTAAGCTGCCAAGTAGCTGATGCTCTTCAGGCACAGCTGAATCCAAGGACAACCCTCTCCTTGCCCAGTATTTACTTGAAAACATCATCATTGCCGGCTGCATGGATCCGATGTAATTTCCTTTCTCTGCAACAGGGGGGACTAGCTGTGCAGTAGCAGCAGGTCTGGCAGAGATTGAGAGAGGAATGGGCGTGGGATCAGCAGCCTGCTTGGGGCGCTGTCCACAACCGTGGTGCTGAAGAGCAATGCGAATCCTCCCATCCCCGAGCTCCTTTATATGCGTGACTGGCGATTGATGGAAGGCTGATTAGAAAGAAACTCATTTCTGGTTGCCGATGGCCACGATCAGATTATAGACCTGAAGCCTGGGGTTATCTGTGCTCATGGTGCGATTTGTTTCTAGGTCGAGTAGCTGTTTGGGCGGGGGTGGTAAAGAATAATACGTAGGGAGATATTTGTACAAGAAATCATCTATCCCTGACATTGGCTGTCATCTCTCAAGTCTGTTACTGACAAGTTAACCTCAGTCTTTTAAGTATCTATGAATTCAAAGATTTTGTGCTTTCTTTACAATAGTAGAAAAATGTGTTTTAAAAGATCAGCACTGCTGAATCCTTAAGCCATTTTAAGTGTTTTTTCATTTGTAATTTTGATGGATACATAAATAGTTGTACATAATTATAGGGTACATATATTTTGATACAAGCATAAAATATGTAATGATCAGATAGAGTAATTTGGATATCCATCACCTCAAACAGTTATTTCCTTGTGTTAAGAACATTCCAGTTCCACTCTTCTAGTTATTTTGAAATACACAACAAATTATTGTTAACTATAGTCTCCCTATTGTACTACCAAATATTAAATCTTTTTTTTTTTTTTTTTTTTTTTTTTTTTTTTTTTGAGACAGAGTCTCGCTTTGTTGCCCAGGCTAGAGTGAGTGCCGTGGCGTCAGCCTAGCTCACAGCAACCTCAAACTCCTGGGCTCGAGTGATCCTTCTGCCTCAGCCTCCCGAGTAGCTGGGACTACAGGCATGCGCCACCATGCCCGGCTAATTTTTTCTATATATATCAGTTGGCCAATTAATTTCTTTCTATTTATAGTAGAGACGGGGTCTCGCTCTTGCTCAGGCTGGTCTTGAACTCCTGACCTTGAGCAATCCGCCCGCCTCGGCCTCCCAAGAGCTAGGATTACAGGCGTGAGCCACAGCGCCCGGCCTCAAATATTAAATCTTGTTCCTTCTGCCTAACTGTATTTTTGTACCCATTAACCAATCCCATTTTATGTTAATAAGCATTTTCTGACCTGATGTGTGATGCTTTTGTCCATGTAAATTTGTGGGTATGTGTGTGTGCACAAATGTATATGTGATAGCTTTCATAAAAGGTATTGATTCCTAATCCTGTGATGCCTCTATGCAGACTAATGTTCAAGCAATTGTATTGCAAAGGGAATGTGAGGCTTTGATTTAGCCACATGTAGATACATATAGCTCAGACACTAATTCTAGAATCTTCCTCACTAAGTGAGAAGTAAAAGGAAACTAAATACCTATATATCAGTCATTGCTTTAATGCTCTTGATGGCTACTGAATTTTTCCTCTTCACTTGTAACCATTAATAAATCAAATCCAGCAATTTTTTTTTATTTTGGCATATTATGGGGGTACAGATTTTAAGGTTTCAATAAATGCCCATTTCCCTCCCTCCCCCCAAAAGTCTGAGTCTCCCTATCTTCCAACATAGGAAGTTAATGGTAAATGCCTAAAACTGAAAATCAAAGCAGTAGCAAAACACAAATATTACCGCATTGAGACATATGGAAGTAAATATATCACAAGAATCAGCTGACAGTGGAAGGTCTTGCCACTGAGAGGACGATTTGGGTGGTGGAGAAGAGAGGAACAGTTTCTTATAACACATGCACATGTGTGACATTGATTACAAAAACATAGACTTTAAAAATAAATTATACTGCAAAGAAATAGGGCATTTGTTTGTAATAAACCTTTGTTTAAACCTTAGCTCTGCTAATTGCCTAGTTGTGTTTAAGGAGGACACATGACTTCATGTTTCTCAACCTCCATTTCTGCAATACAAGAGCAATAATGCCTAAACCTTAAGGGCTCTTATGCTGATTAAATTGGATGTGTATAAAGTGCTTAACACGGTGGCTGGCAGATATTGGATGGTTATAGTGCCCCACTGGTTCTGAAGCCAGAGTGATATCAAATTAGGCATTGATTTAGAATCTCTGGCAGAAATTAGAGACACCTGGATATCTAGCTTTTAATGAGGTGGTTGTCCTCATAATCCATGATAAGCAGGAAACCAACAGTTATAAGGGGAGCCAACAGAATTGGTTTGGATCAAGAAGTTAAAGAGGCCAAGAAGCAAAAAGTGGGAAATGGAATGGGAAAGTATAAAGTGGATATTGTCACAGAGGGAGCCCTGCAATACAAGATCTTACAGGTAGAAGAGGGTTATTTACTGTGAATTGCCATGAAGGTGAACAGCTGAGATGGGAGGCGGCGTCCACAAAATTAAGGAAGTTTTACATTAAGGATGTCAATGAGTCCTCAACATAGGTATCTGTTGTCATTGAGGATAGTAGGGAAAATGAGAGAAATACACAGACCAGTCCTTAAATCATGTGGAAAACAGAAGCAGATCTTGAGAGGTTGTATCCTATATGAACAAAGAAATGGAAAAGGTGATATTAATGTAAATAAGAAAACCAAAGAGATGCTGAAGCATCCATGGTCCGTAATTGGAAAAGACCAGCCTACTCACCCCTAACAATTCCATTTTGTAGGAAAAAAGATCAAAGACCTGAGGATTTCTTATTCCTCCCTGCCTACCCCCACCATCCTGGCTAAATTAGAAGCCAACCGGAAATGCAATGTCATCAAGAGAAAGCTAAGTTTCAGTGATGCCAAGAAATATGTTTGAGGGAAAGAATAAAAGGAAACAGACTTAAAGTAAGGTAATATTTGCCTGGCAATTCCCCAGTCTGAATGGAAAAAGCATGTGTGAAGTTTAAAGGATAGATATAGGATGTGAGAGTATGAAGATATGTAAAGAGATAAGCAATAATGATTGTTTTTGAGATTGGGATTAGAAAAAAATGTCTGATTCCTTTTCCTTGGATAACTTGCCTTTGTGGTTGTATGCCATCATTCCAGTCTATCAAATTTGTGTCTCAAGCAAATTTGTTACATATGTCTTCTATGCTTAAACTCATGTTGAACAAGGCAAGAGAAAGGGCTGAATTTTATAGCACACAACCAACCTATCAATTTGACTGGATTTGTTTTTCCATCGACATTGACTCCTAAATCTTACAAGGTATACTTTAGGTTCCTTGGCAGGAATTGTTCACTATTAATATAAACTATTCCTAACTTCTTCAAATTAACCATATGAATATCATACCAAAGTAAGTTTATACCCTATCTGAGGTATGTCCTCGATTTAGTAATTTATCAATAAAAGGAAATGAAGTAAGCCTGCAATGACTTACTTTTTAGAAAACTCAAGCAGGCTCATACATAACACCATTTTCTTTTCAAGATATTCACAAACATTATACATAGAGTTAATGAAGTGCTTGTCTATTCTGGCACTTTAATATCTACAAATAGATTTTAAAAATAAAGCAGCAGTGTGGGAAAAAAAAATAGGTTCACTTGGAACATTAGAAACCCCACTCTCCTTTGAGCGAAAGGTCTTAAGATTATTAGTGTTGATAGCCAATGTGAGTGATGTACTTAGATGAAAACATCCAAACTATACCATACTCAAGTGGCTTCCACCACTTCAACTCATATTGCAACAGGTGAAGGTGTTTGTGACACAATGGAAGTGTATTTATTCTTATTGACTACCCTTAAATACTACATAGCCATAATTTAGAGGGGAATGAAGTATAAACAAAGATTGAGTGGACTTGAACTTTGCATGGAGGTAGTGTCAACCATCCAGACATCTAGACAATATAATCTGAAATTAAATCAAGCAGGACAATTTGGTATCAAAGTTTGACTGTCTGACTGAACTGACCTAATGTTGAAGCACAACCAAAAACAGCTGCCCAGAACCTTAGGTATCAGTCTGTTCCCTAATAAAATGTTCACTGACTGTCAAATAGACACTGTATTTTCCCATATTACTAAAAATGCTTAATGCAGACATATCTTGTTTTTAATTTTTGTAATTGTTGACTTGAGAATGATCACATTTCATTCATAAGCAAAATATCAGATACATCTTACACTCATGTTCTCATTATCATGTTGTTATATAACAACCTTTACTAAGGGAGAATGGATAAAAGGAAAGCACATTTAAGTCCAATTTGAAAAAGATAAAACTGAAGTGCAAACAGTATAGCAATTTATGTTGGGGTCAGTGAGGCAGTGGCTTGGATGAAACCAGAATACACAGTTCAGATTTGAAATCAAAATGACCTCAGTCAATAGGAAGCAAACCAAAGGGCTGCCTCAAGGCTATTTCTGCAGGATAATATATTTTGGGAGGGAAACCAAACCACATAGTTTTAAAATTTTAAAAAAATTGCCTGTGACTATCTATTTGGTTGCCATCAAATAATCATAATCATGCCAGGCACCACATTAAACATTTTATATCTACTCCTCATAATTATTTTTTCTTTTCTTTTTTCTTTTTAGAGATGAGGTCTCACTCTTGTTCAGGCTGTTCTTGAACTCCTGAGCTCAAGGGATCCTCCTGCATCCCAGAGTGCTAGGATTACAAGTGTGAACCACTGTACCCCACCCTAAGGTAAGTATTATCCCTACCTAAGGATGAGAAACTGAGAGCTAAGAGGTGATGTTCACAAAGCTAAGAAGCAACCAAACCAGATCTCAAATCTGTGACTGACTCAAAAATCTGTGCTTTTACCCAAATAGTCTAACCTGTTTCACATTCACAGGTATGGTGGACATTTTCTAGTATGAACAATTCAGTCAGTTTGACTCAGTATTCTTTTCCTGACATTTGACTCCCAGGGATTATAGGATAAATGTTATATCCTTTGCAACAATATAAAACACCCTATCAAGTGGCCCAAGCATCCAGACTCTACCCTGAAGCCACTTTGAACTTCTTAAGAAAAAAATCACCTAAAATAAGTTGTATTATTTGTCCAAAAGCACCACCTTTCAACACAACTCACATTATTCGTGTTTACATAGATATGAAACTAAATTATGACCA